TTCAATTTGAAGATGAGCTCTCTTTATGAAGCAGTTTAATGTAAGAAGTCTCAGCATGCCAAACCATGTCACCTTGATAAACAAAAAATGCTTTCTTTTAACTCTTACGGATATTGTCGTTAAGTTCATTATTCAGAATCGCTGCTTTCTCGATAATTAATACATTTGAAAATTGTCTCCCTCAGTTATTGATAAATCTTTTAAATATTCTTCATCATACAATCAGAAAAAACATTGCGTTGTTGACAATAAACATAATAACCTTGTTGTTTTAGTCTTCGGAAAACACATGTGATCTTTAAGAAGCGAATAGAGACTTTTACTAATACAGTAAAGAATGATCCGAAAGTCGGACTTCTTGAGAATCCAAGCAGTATAAAACTGCTCTCTCATCTCTCCCATCTCTGATTTTAATTCTTGAGAAATTCACTGTATATTTTATTAGTATGATTTGCTTTACATCCGCCAAAATAAAATAATTTTACAATTTCGCATCAAGGAACACTGGTTGTATGCTCAGGTTAAGTCTTCGATCTTCGAGAGCTAACTATAGTTGGAAAATTGATTTTAGTTCTGCAAAAATTATACGTGATGTTTTTCATTTGGAGAATTGGATTTCCTTGAAGTTTTGACAAAGCTTTATATTCTTTAGCTAATGACATAAATTCCAATCCAGCTTTCAAAATTCTAATTGCTTGGTTTTTCATTTTTCATTGCCTCTTCGCTCTAAAGAAGGCGCTACGTTTGGGCTCGCTGCGTTTCGCTTGGTGTTTTCCAGGGTTAGAATAGAAGGAGGGAAGGTTCAACTCAAACGGTGAAGCTTGGCGGCCATGTTACTGTTATCGCTGTGACTTGTGCAAAGAAGTCTGCAATTGCAATATTTTTTTTTTTTTTTTTTTTTTTTTTCCATTTTGAAGCATGTCAGCGCTTGTGTTTCATATGGATGCATAAATCCATTTTCGAAAAACATTCCTGGGATTACGTTTCACTCGTAAGTATTGATTTTCTTTTTTTATATAATTTGATAAATATGTTAAAAAAATCACAATGTCATGTTGTTTTCTTTTCAGATGTGAAAACAAGTACTTAAGAATAATCAAAATATGTTAAATACATTTTAATGTTTCTGTTTATAGCTGATATCTTCGCCCCCTAACATACAATGATATGTGCCAGGATTTAAACTGTATAATCTGAACGTTTTAGGCTATTCGTTTTATAATTTTCATGAAAAGTAAGAAATCAATTGTTACTATTTTTAGGAATTGTAAAGGTGTTAAATAAAGCAATGCTTTTCTTTATGTATTAATTATTACTCAATTCACGCGCATAAACTGAAATCATTGAACTCACATAAATCTGTTTTATTTTATTAATATTTATTTTCTTGTTATTATAAGTTGTTGGTCGTGAAAAGAATCTATTTAAAACTTTCATTTAAAAAAATGCAACCTATGACTATGTTTTAGATAATTATCTGCTATTAATTTCAGGTTAAAATGATTCTTTAATAAATTAGGATAGTATTGTAAATAAATCAGAAATATCACTTCTTAAAGAAAACATTGGAAAGTACACCCGACAGGTTACTAATGAAACCTAAAGAAATTCTTGAAATATGCAGAAACATCATTTTTAAAGGCTTTAATGTTATGCCCATGCATTTAGATTTCGAACTATTTCTTAATGATTTTCTGTACGTAGAAAATTACGGATCATCTTTATAACTTTAAAACAAAAAATTAGCAATATCGAAACATTTCATTGTAAATTTAACATATTTTTACTGGAAAATACATGCACGGAACAGCTTAGAGACACGTACGTTTCACAGCCGTAATGCAATGTTTTAAAGTTACAAATATGGACGCCGCTTGTTCGGTGGAGTTTCATTCCCCGATAGTGGAGGAAACTGCGAACCCTCCCTCCTTCTATTCTAACCTTCTTGGTGCTTTCGGTATAAAAAAGATCATTACTCCCCCCCCCCCCCATTTATCAGCACTTAGGAGGTACATTTCTCCAAATAGAAGCGAAATACTTCTGGAGAAATTTCAAAATCAGGTACTCTATTTTTGGGGGCGAAGCTGCAATGATAAGACCTTTTCAGGTCTGAATACCAGTTTTAGGTTTTGGATACGGATTGGATACCCATTTATCAAAACTTTTTTTGCTTCTGAAGGAGAAGGACTTGCGGCTAACCGATCTCAAAATCTGTAGAATTTTATTCAAAATCAAACCCTAGATAAGGTTGCTTTTTTTTTTTTTTTGCCTAGTTTTAAATTTTGCATTAGCGTATTTTTCTTGCATTTCTTAAGTGCAAACACTGTATTAATCTCGGTTCCTCTTGTCTGGACTCTCGTTCGCACAGTTTGTTCCTTCCATTTTCAATCACCGTTATATTACGGTTCGCTATCCAGTCATTTATCAACGACTCTTCCAATCAATTGGGGTCATTTCCTAAGTGCCAAAATATTTTCTTTATCATCTAAGTGGCCAGGCAAACAGAAGTGTTGCTGTTTAATGTTGCATAGGATCATTAATATATAGTTTCCGAACTAAAACAGTATGTTTATTAACTAACTAAGCAATTTAATATACATATATATTTCTTCAATATTTTCTACGTTTATTTCGTTTCTTCATTTTTATTGCTTTAAAATATATTTTTTGTTGTAATTCTATTGCATTAAATTCCTATATCTGTAATATAATTAACCTAATAACTTTTAGAAATATTTGAACCATTCTATTAATTAAACGAAGTAACTCATAACGCCTTGTACATCGGTATAGAATATTCATTTGACGCCGCACCCTTAAGAGCTTTGTACATATTCTTATACTTATTCAACTTGATTTGCAAGGTTATTTTGATTAGTACATTTTACTTAAATTAAAATATATTATAAGCTCCTGTCTGCTCCACCAGAGTATGTTAACTGGGGGGAGTTTTAAGTAGGGGATAAGAATCTAAATGTTGAGAGAGAGGATTGGAAACATCAGCCGACTATAAAGAAGCTGTTCTGTGTGTAACGCAACGACGGTTCCGCCCACTTGGTGAGTTTTCCTTTTGGCTTTGAATATCAAATAGCTGTTTGAGAAATTACCTGTTTGAATTATGCCTTAGTATAAATTGAACCAGGCACTAGGGAATCATTTAAATGGGTGAATTTTAAGTAATTGGTCTATATAATTATTCTTGAGAAAAGCGGAAGGCAATTTGTATTAGTTTAGTATTATACTTCAAGCTGAAGCAAGCCGCAAATTTTTAATTGTTTTTATTTCTATCCATTAGCATTCTGGTATTGTTATTCAAAGTTAGAGTAAAATGTGTGTCGCAAACGATAACATTATACGGTTCCAAAATTGAGTTATCTTATAGTAGTAGTTTCACAATACAATAGTCCCCCACTCTCTTTATAACCGAATATGTCTCCTCTTTCTTAATAAGCAGATGTAGAATAGTTCCAAGCACTCAATTCCACTCATATTCAAGTTCATTTTTGTATTACAGCTTTCTTTAAGCTACCCACTTTCTCAAATTCTTTTTAGTTCTGTTATTTACAAGAATGCAGAATTTATTTGCATATTTTTACTTTACATGTGTCCCCCTTGATTTTTCTGGGTATGATTAGAAACATTTGAAGTACGGTAATAATGCAAAATGAATGTACAGAAAGGAAAGTATTTTGTATTCTCGAAATTGATGAGTACTTTAAAATGCATAATATAATTATATTATAGAATCTTCATACGTCCTTATAGTTTGTTATGTTTTTCATTTAAGGTACCTCTTCAGAAATATTATATCCCAAGTAATTTTTCCTCCCGGTTATTCAAGCAATAAAATTAATAGGAAATGGAGGATATGCGAGTAAATACGACATTGTGAAATAAATTTAAATCGATATTCGCTAATTATCAGATGAAAAAATTAAGAGGTATGTCACCGAGTAAGGAATTTTAAGTTAGCTAGTTATAAATTTACTGTATAGGAGACATATCCTTTCGTAATAAATTAGACCTTTTCAAATATTAGAGAAGTGATGATACTATTTTGTGTAATTTGCCCCATTAAGTGATACTGGGCACCCTATCGCTGAACCAAGGTTCGAATTTCGGCAAAATACTGGTGAATCGAAAGTACTTCTGAAAAATAGGAGAACCTCAAATCCGTCGCAAGGAATGTTATCTATCAAACTATGTCGGAGCCTTTCCTTTCTCTGCTGGCCCATGTGGTGCACCCTGAGCGACATTCTATGTGACCAGACGGCTAAATGACAGGTGAGTTTGGCTTTTCCACACAAATGCAATAAATTTTAAGTGTCTAGCCACTTGGTTCAACCATATTTAGCCGCTCTATTTAGTACAGTGAACAGTGCTTACTGCGGTGTCGTTTTGAAAAGTCGCTGAATACTGGTAATTCGCTCCGGGGTTGAAAATCGTGGCGAACGGGTTGGTTACATAGGCATTTTCTTGGTTTTCTCCATTTTTAATGTGTATACGAGTCAGTTTCTCTTTGAAAGTCCTCCAAGAAGGTATCCCTCCCCTTAGGCAGATAGTCCTAGTGGTGCTTTGCCATAACCAACTAAACCCAACCAAACTGTGTTGTTTGGTCCGGGTTCAGATCGTGGAGAATGCTTGGAAGTCTTACTGACAAGTCAGATGTTCTTTCGAGAGGTTTAGTGATAAGGCAAGAGGGTTAGAAAACCCTCGGATCCAACCCTCGGGGTATTTTTTATCAAAAGTGACAAGAAGCTTTCCCTTTAGCTCAGGTATAACGTGGTCGTTTCCTTTAGTGTCTCCTAAGGAACATTTTCAGTCATAAAACAGTAAAACGACCGATTGCTTGGTTCAGACTTCCCAAACGAATGCATCGAGTTACACAATAGTAACAGCTTGTTGTTTGCTTATTGTGTACTCTGAGATCAAAATAATTGAGTAATAACAGCTTGTTATTTCTGTACAATAATGTGTACTCTGAGATAAAAAAAATTAAGTATTCTGCAGAATTCTTTTATTTTCAGTAATACAAAATCATTACACTTTATGACACAATAATGAATTCTAGGTTTACATAAAGCAGGTGAACATTTAATCTGGTGAGAGAAAGCAATTCATTGACATACCATCTTCTTATTTCATACCGTGAATGTTTTCTTAAAAAAAGAAAATGTGAGATTTTTTGCAGTTATAAAATTCAAATTCTTTTGCTTTCAAGAATTTAGCAGTACATGTTTTACATAATTAGTGAGAATTTATTTTAAAAAATTCGTAAACCTCTCTTAATGTTTTTCGATTTCCAGCGTACAAGATTCAAAATGAGACCACATACTAAAGGAAAATAAAATTGACATTTAGAGCTGAATTTAGATTAAAAGTCAATAAAATTCTTCAAAAAACTTTTAGTGATTTTGGAAAATGTTCGTAGTACATTATAAATAACTATCGTATTAAAAAAAAACTTTATTACTGCTGATCTGATATTACACATATTACCTTTATAACCTATTCCATAATGTTCGTCCAAAATCTACACCCTTATCTTAATGAAAATCTCATGTGCAAATGCATGCAAAGTATGAAGGCGATTCATATTTTAATTATAAATCTTATAAACAGGAGTAATTAATGGGTTCATTAATTACACTTTTTAAATTTATAGATTGAAAAGATTGAAAAGGTCTTGATTTTGATTGATGTTTACATGTATTGGTAGAAATAAATTATATCTCTGACATTCTGGTTTTATGCATTTTAAAATACCATAACATGGAATTTACTTATTCTTCGATGTGATTAATGTGTTGAATCCTAGAGAAGCACAGCTAGGTATATAAAAGGCAAATTTCAGTGAGCAATTGAGCATATAATTTTAAACGCATTCTTACGTTTTTATTACTTAACGAGAAATAACGGAAGAATTTTTATCATATTTCATATCCATTAAATTTAATGAAGATTAACCTCAGAAAAATATCTGCGTTTTCTACGGATTTTTATATGCAGTTATGAATTGCTGTAATGTTATTCCTTACATCAGTCTGAATATTTTGAAAGCATATTCAGATGTAATGGAAGCATGGCATTAAGAATCCTTATAAGAAGTTTAAAATGACAAAATGTATAAAAATGCACACGAGGAAGAACTATGCTAATTTATCTAAAGTTAAAAAAGATACGCATATATACTCTGAGCAGAAATTTTAACGAAAAATTCTTTTTCCATTTTCTGTTGTCATTCATCATCAAGTTCGCATTTTGTTGTCATTTTTCATGAGAATCACGTTCTGTTATCATTCTTCATCACGTTCACGGTCTGCTGTTACGTTTATTATCCGCTCTTCCCAGTTTACTGGATTTCGGCAATAGGACACGAGTTCTCTGAATGTGCAGGGTTTCTTGCAGCATTCATCAACGACACCTCTCGGTTTTCTCTTGTGAAAAGCTGAAGGTTCGGGATAGGCCTGGCTGGCTTCAAGTTGAGATTTGACCATCCAGGGACGGAGGAGGCTTAACAAGGATGAATCTAGTTGGCCTTTGGACATCAAGGAAAGAAGAAGCCACTGGGGATAAGAATCTGAAGAAGAGTTTTGATTACAATTCTAAGTGATCAGTTCAATTTTTAAACTTTTTTCATACAAAAGAAATATACTTATTAAGATAATATGTGTACTATAGGATGTTTAGAAAAAGATGAGATAAGCCTTAGCTAATGTAACACACCGTGTGAGGTACATTATTTTTACTATAGTTATTTTAATTTGTTATCATTTCCTGTCCTTTCTCATCTCTGTCGTGTTTGCTCGCTCCTATATTAATCAGTTAGGTTGAACTAGAGCGTTTTTAAACCGAAGTAACGACAATTTCAGTTAAGGCGGGGTTTCGCTATTGAGACCGCACGTTATTAATTCTATCAGCTGTTGAATTTTGAATCTTGGCCTCACATTTATGCAGCTGAAATACAGTACCACATCGGTGTAGATTTCTGTGCCAACCTGCTAGGTTAATTTGAATTGTGTAGCCTTGCACTACTAATTACCTTTGAATTTAGTTTATTACATTACCTCTTAATTTACTCACCAATAAAAGGATTTTCAATAAAAGAGTCTTAAAGGGCCTTTTACACCTTCACCTGTTGTAATCATCTTCTAGACTTTGCAAGAAGTCGCAACACAGACATTCAAACAGATCTAGTTAAGTGTATGTTCTCAAAAAGACTAGATCCTACAACCGCAATCCGCTTTTCAGTTCAGACAATACCTGGTTTTGAAAATTAAATAAAAATATGCTATGGGGTGCTTGCTTACTAGTAAGCAGCGTTTCTCAAGAATGAATGCACCTCAGCTTCAACTTCTGAGACGATGCAGGTAACAAAGCCTATATACATTTTTTGATTTGACGAAAAATGTATAGTATTTTACTGCCGGTTTTCTTAGAATTCTAGAAGTATGTTCAAACAATTATCCAGAGTCACCTGCACTTTACCACATAGGAGCATAGTCCATTTTCGAAAAAGATGTAAGAAACCTGGATGGAGCTTTCCAGGTTTCTTGGATTAAGTGTGTGACCAACTTGGATGGAGCTGGATGGAAACCGGGATGGAGATTTTCAGGTTTCTTGGACCAAGTAGTGTGACGGACCCTACACACACACTTAAGTTGTTCACACACTTAGTCCCACGATAAGCCAATCTGCCTTGCCTTGATTCAATGCTTCAAATGTGTGATATGTGTATGGTGTGTTATATGTGTATTCTGTCCATCGCCATATGTGTTCGTGGTATTCACGTATCTGAAAAATTACTGTAATCATTTATTTTTTTATCTCGTTTTCATTATATTCATATTTGTTTTTCATCTTCTGTGTAGGTCACGAATGTGGGACAATATTTGTTAACCATTGATAAAGACCAAGTTGTCTTCAACAGAACTGAACTGTTTAGGCCTCACTTCTTTGACTTACATCAAGCATATGTTGGTGCCTTCTGGTTACATTTTCGATTATGCGTTAAAAAGTAACAAAAGATTGTTCCTTAATGTTCTTCCTCCTCTTAAAATTAATCCCATCTTGTTTGAAATACTTTACATACTGCGATTAATTCACCTCAGTAAACGTAACATTAAATTTTCAGTTCATTCAAATTTCTGTGGAGTTTATTTTCTGGTTAACATAGGTAAAGAAATATCTTTTAATTAAAGAATGAAATTTTTAGTATTGAGGAGCTGTTAAAAATTAAAGATAAAAGTTAATACAATTTTATGAGCTGTTGGTATTGGTATGTTTTCCTCTTTCTTATTAGTGATAAACAATCACGAAGAAACGTTTTACAAATAATGTTGTGAAACAGTTTAAAAGGAAAAGAAATTCAAAATTTTGTCTTGAAATTACTATAAGTACTTAGACAAGATTTAAAAATTAATTTTGAAATTTGTGATGAATTTAAAATAAATCATTAAACTGTTATTTAAACTTTCGAATTTGAAATTTCTATATCTAACTCTTTTGTACAAAACAGAATATTTTACTGTTATAAAAAAACTTCTTTTTAAGCTATTCATAGCTGTATTTTGCATAAATGTTTACTGATATTTAAATGCACAAATCTTTACATTCATTCATATTATATCGGATTATTTCCTGAATGTCTGAACTTCCCATCTGTGATAAAAATTAACTGGATGTGAGATTTTATGAAACTGCATGAAAACGCACGATACATCTATTGCATTATTAATATGAAACGTTTAAAGAACGATAAATTTAACGCAACAATGGGAAAGTTACAATTTCTATCACCAGCGCATAATTAACATAGGTGAGAATTCGATTTTCAATATAAGAATTTTGTGACTTTTGAAAACCATTTAATGCGTTTTTTAGTTTAAAAGTATAAAAATGATCTTCATTTTTAAATATATTTAAATTTTCTGTTTGATTCAAAATTACGGTAATTAGCTGGCTGTATTTTTGTGTTAATGCTTTAACCTACACAATTAACGAATGTACCGACGTGCATTTTGTTTTGCGTAGTGTAAATTTCTGATTTCTTTATTTTACACTTCCATTGGATTACAATTTACTTCTCCTTAATCTTAATTTGTTTCTTGTTTAATTAATGCGATCTATGATTATTATTATAATTATTATTATAAGGGTCGGCACAAGCCGGCCGTATGATCAAAACAGGGGACTGGCCAGACTCCGATGTATGATATTAGTTTAGGAATGACACGTTTTGGACTGTATATTGTGAATTCACTAAAATGGTTTTGAAGTTTTAAAAGAACGGCGGTATATGTTGATATTATCAGATACGTCTGATGACTTTTGGAATAAGGAAATGTATACGACGGCTATTTGCCTTGTAAGGTTTATCTTGTAGGGTTTATATTTATTTTAACTAACATTTATTTTAAGTTTAAACTATCTTTCCTGTCAATCCTTACTTTCCCCTGGAACTGCCAATGCCAGAATATGTAAATTTGAGTAGAACGCGCAAGCATTCAAATTATCAGCGGAAGTAAGCATTTATAGGATAGATTTAAAAATAGAAGGAAAAGTTCGGTGAGAGTTTTATTCTTACTTAGCGAGCGCGGAGGTAGTTATCGAGATTTGAAAAACCCCGCGTTGCGGCCTATGTGCTTGGCGGGAAGTAGTTGCAATTGTTCCAGTGAGCTTCAAGTCTGCTGAATTAGCAGCCGTATTGTAAAACGCGGTGAGTTAGTTATTTTGAGAGAGCCTCGTAGTTAGAATATTGTCTTTAATTTCTTTTCAGGTTTTTATTTTTATTTTGACTGCCGAGTTGGCACCGTTTGTAAGCGTCAAGAGAACGCAATTGTAAATTAGTACGTTGAATAAAAAGGGACTTAAACCCTTTATAAGACTCTGTGGTTTATACAAGCTTTCACAGTCACCTCTTGGTTGCGTGCTAGTTAGAGGCGCGCAACGTTATATTGGCGCCCGAACACTTATCGAACTGAAATGGCCGAAAACTGGATGGAAGCCGCTGGACAACACCAAGAAATGACAACGCAGTTAGAAGGATTTGGATACCTGGTCCAGACTTTGAGAGCATCAATCAAGCCAAACGTCTATTTCGACGGAAAAATTCGGTGTCCGTATTTTTAGAAGGTATAGAAAACCACTTTCAGCTCTATCCTGTGCCTGAAAGACAAAAAGTTGCCTATCGCCACATCAGCACTAAGAGGACAGGCCGCGCTATGGTGGAAAAATATAGGCAAATTTCTTCTAGGTGAATTTGGAAGCCCGACGTATACTTTTGAAAATTTCAAAAAATCGTTAGTAAAGGCCTTCCCCATAGTGAAAGATCGCGCACGGCTGGAAGCCGAGCTATATAGTTTCTATCAACGGGATACAGCACAATTGACGGACTTTATTTTACGAAAAATCAAGCTAACGGATATGTTGTATGGGAAAAAACCCGATGCGGAGATTAATTGAAATAATATTACCAAGATTGTTACCGCTGTCCAAGACTACTTTGAAATTAGAAACCCAACCACATTGCAGGAACTTTTCGAATTGGCGGTGAAGTTTCAAAATCGCAGAATCGCGGAAAAAGAGCGAGAGGGGAAACATATTCTAGTACCAGAAGGAAGGAGGAAACAGAAATGGAAATCGCATATATGGGGGAAAGAAATATCAAAACGAAACTTGAAGGGCAAGGCCCAAAAAGAAAATTTGAAAATAAGCATCCGCGTACCCAGAAGACACAGATTGAAAGGAAAGCTTTAAACGACTAGAGGGGCCTGTGAAAGGGAGGGTCCAGACCCCGGAAGTTTTAGAAAAACCCTCAAATAGACATCTAAATACAGTCAGTCATCGTAAAAAACTCACAGCTACCAATTATACAAGTCCTGGTTGGCGATGTACCAGTAGAAGCCCTCATCGATACAGGGGCAGAAGGCAAATTTCATGAGTGAAAAGTTCTTCAAAAAGAATTTTTATAGGATACGACTCTTTAAAACCAGAAATACGGAAATTATAGCGGCGCAAGGAAAAACATGTCACTGCATCGGGAAAGTATCATTAAACGTACAGGTAAAAGAGGAAAATCTCAAAGTATTAATTTTTGTGGTGAAACACCTCCAACACTCTCTTATTTTAGGTATGGACTTTTTAAGGGCCGCGAGGGCCAAATTAAATTTTCAAGATAGTTCCGTGGGAGATGGACCAGAGGGTGGAACCTGTGGAGACACCTGAATTGGACCTTAGCCATTTGAATGACCAGGAAAGTAAAGCAATACAGCAGAGTAATTTTTCTCATTTGTTTTCAGAAAAAGGAAACTGTCAGATCGTAACTCACAAGATTCAATTAAATGCCGAAAAACCTTGTAGGACTAAACCTTACCGCTATGACAAACAAAAGACTTAATCATCGAAGAACATATTCAGGAGATGTTAAAGAATAATAACGCCCATAAATAGTATACGCGAGTCCAGTCGTACTACTATGTAGGAAAAAGAACGAGTTTCCTCCTTCGGATAAAAGGGCTTGGAGGTTTGCTATCGATTATAGAAAACTAAATAGCATAACTAAATTTCCCAGTTTACCCT